ACTGTTGCATTATATCACAGAGGAAAGTGTGATATAAATAAGGCCCCACATTGTTCAGATGCAAGAAATGATGGTTTTTAACAATAAAAATGCAGTTTTGGACGTTTGCCTTAGCTTGCATGGTGGCACTGCACTGTGTATGCATTGGTACAAACAAACCAACATAAAAATAATTTCTTGTATACATGTGAAACAAAATGTATAAACCTGCAGCACTGGTTCACCCTTCAGTATCTACTGTATCATATACACGATGTACCCGTCTTCACTGTGCCTGCTGATCAGCATGTTGAAACAGGGTCTGGGTTTAAAGGCAAAGCTGTGTTTCCACATATCAGCGATGTTACAGTGCAGAGAACTTTCCTGTTACTTAAACTTGACTAGAGAAACTGTATTTGTGTTGATTACATTTGTCATGTGTGTTCTGTCTCCATGCAGCCTGCTGTTTGGGACTCTGTATCCTGCGTACTACTCTTACAAAGCTGTCAAGACCAAAAATGTTAAGGAATATGTAAGTTTTTATTTACTTCTCTTCTCCTGCATGACTTCATCTCACACACAGACACACTGTGGGGTGGGGGTGGGGGGGTCTAAGTTATTAACATTTGTTAATGTTGTTCTTAAACATTAGAAAACATTTCATTTCAACAACTTCGACAAATTAGGAGGTAACGTGGGCCAAAATGATCTGGAGCATGATTATAGCCTTTTCACTTAATGAGTAATTACACCAGCAGGCACACAAATTAATAATGTCATCAAGTGACGTCATTTTGTATGTGAATGCATCCAGCATGGTCCTGCTGACACAGCCGTCATTCTTCATGTGCTGTCTGCATATGTCAGTGAAACTGAACATGTTGTTGTAAGTTTAAAATATATATCTTATTTTCATCATTATGTACCTTTTTCAAAATAACCTGAATGGTGACATTAACTCAGAGATGATACTGGACACTAAGTGCAGTACAGTAATTAGGGATGGGTACCGGTATCCGGT